TTGGTTACTATGGCTAATGCTGCTGTGACCATTCATATGCAAGTTTTTGTGTGAGAATGTCTTCAATTCTTTTAGTTAAGAATGGTGCTGCTAAGTCATACGGTAACTGTTCCACTTTTTGAATAACTGCCAGTTTTCCAAAGGGGCTTTACCATTTTATCATCCCATCAGCATTAAGTGTGGGTTCCAATTTCCAACAACTGTTATTGTCTCTTTTCAACTGTAGCAATCCTAATAGGCATGAAGTAATTATCTCATTGCAGTTTCAAGTGCATTTCCTTAATGACTAATGATGTCAAGCATAATTTCATGTACTTATTGGTCATTCCTATATTTTCTTTGAAGAAATCTATTCAAATACCTTGCCCATTTTTTAAAATTGGGTCATCTTTTTGAGTTGTAGAATTCTTTATATATTCTAGTTACTAATATTATCAGATGTGATTTGTAAATATTTTCCCATTCTGAAGGTTGTCTTCTCCCTTTGATAGTGAAAGTTCTGAAACACAAATTTTTAAAATTTTGATGAAATCCAAATTGTTTTCTTTGCTTACACTTCATGTTGTGTCTAAGAAACCATTCATTGCCTCATCAAAGGTCACAAAGATTTACAACTGTTTTCTTCCAAAGCTTTTATACTAACAGTTTTTACATTTAGGTACCTGATCCGTTTGGAGCTAATTTTTGTATATGGTGTGAAGTATGGGTTCAAGTTCATTCATTTTATATGTGGCTATTCACTTGTCCCAACACGATTTACTGAACTTATTTACCCATCAAAAATAGATCCAATTATTCTAATATGGAACCATTCAGATTCTTTCTCCTTATATCTATAGTTTTTCAGGTATTTGACCATTTCATCTGAATTTTTAAATGTATCACAAGTTATTCATAAGTCTCTTAAAAGATCTGTTAACATATGTAGGTCTCCATTCCACTCCCAAGTATCTATTTGTGCCTTAACACATTTTTCACTTGTCTTGCTAATTTGTCTTCTCAAAGACTCTATTTATTAGCTTTGTTAATTCTATTGTTTTGCTTTCTATTCCAATTAAGTTCTTTTTCTCCCTTCTTTGTTCTTTATTGTTTTTATAACTTATTGAGGTAAATGCCAATGTTAACATATGTAGGTCTCCATTCCACTCCCAAGTATCTATTTGTGCCTTAACACATTTTTCACTTGTCTTGCTAATTTGTCTTCTCAAAGACTCTATTTATTAGCTTTGTTAATTCTATTGTTTTGCTTTCTATTCCAATTAAGTTCTTTTTCTCCCTTCTTTGTTCTTTATTGTTTTTATAACTTATTGAGGTAAATGCCACTTTTTTACTCCTTTTAATAAATTAATATAAAGTCCCCTCTAAGCACTTTATCTACACCTCATGAATTTTGATTACACATTCTTACAAGTCTCTTAACTTTCATCATGGTTCCTTCCTTAACCAAAAAGTTTGCTTTGGAGTATATTTTGTAGTTTTTAGCTAAATATGAAAATTTTTTCAACCATATTTAAATTATGGTCAGAGAATATATTCTGTATGGTTGTCTTTGAATCTATTTACTTTCTGGCATAGCATATGGCCAATTTTTGTGACTTCCATGTGTACATGAAAAATGTGTATTATGCATTTATTGAGTACAGTAGCCTACGCATGGCAATTAGGCTAATTATATTCTCTATAACCCTACCAACATTTTTCATTGATACAGAGTATGCAACCTTCCTGATTGTGGATGTTTCTTCTCATAGTTCTGATAAATTTAGAAGTTATATATTGAATTCTATAAATTTAGAATTGCTAAACCTTCCTAGTGAATTAGTCCTTTTATCAACTGTCTCTTTACTGTCTTTAGCCTAAAATTTTGTTTGATATTAATACAGCCACAGCAGCCTTCTTTTGATATAATCTTTATACATCATCGTTTTACTTTTCACCTTTCCTTATTGTGTCTGTTGTCATATAATTCAATTGTTATCTGGCAATGACCTTTATGGAATTTAGCCTATTATAATACAATTTCTAATCTATTTGGCTGTAAATTTACCCCTTACCAATTGTTTTTCTTATACACATGCCACTTCTCCTGAGTTTTTTTTCTTGCTTTCTTTTAGGTTGAGTATTTTTTGTTATTGCATCTTATCCCATTAGTATGTAGTAATATACTTTTACAAATCTTTTAATGTGGTTACCCTAAATATTATAACACACAATTCTGAATATTCAAGTCCAATATAGAACTACAGTTTCACCTTTTCTCATACGAGAGGACCTTAATGCACTTTCCCATTTATCCCCCTCCCAACTTAAATGCTATTGTTTTCATATACCTTAGTCCTCTGGTTTTTTAAACTTTCAAGCCTTTTTTTTTTTTAATTCTACAGCAAACTTTATTTTTCTCTGAAACTACAGTTTTATTATCGGCCATGGAGATAATCAGCACATGAAAAAAAAAATCAGAGGGAAGGTTCCCAGAAACCACATACCTTCAAGAAATTTTTTAAATCACTGTTCATTTGGCTCACATATCTACCCTTTTTGGTGTTCATCATTTCTTCTTGCATCTCCAAGCTTCCATATGGTATTGTTTTCCTTTGCTTAAACACAACATAGTATTTGTATAGTTTAAGGGGAAAATTTCTCATTTTTGTGTGTAATTTCTTAACCTAATACACCCTGTTAAAGACTTTTCTTTATATAGAACTCTAGGTTGACAGTTATTTTCCATCACTTTGAAGATGCCATTCTATTGTCTTCTGAATCCCACTGTTTTTTTTTCAGTCAGTTGCCACACTCTTCTGGTTGTTTGAAACACACCTTACTTCTTTCACTGCTGTAAGATATTTTTTTTTTAGATTTCAGTGGTATTGGTAGTATTTGTGTAATATTTGTGTAAATTATTATCTCTAAATATATCCTGCTTAAGGTTTGTGGGACTTCTGAAACCTGTAGCTTGATGATTTTCATAAAGTTTAGAAATTTCTTAGGCATTAACTCCAAATAGTCTCTATTTCTTCTCTTTCTGGGACTACAGTTACATTGCTAGCCCTTCTCTGTTACATTTTCTGTACTTTCCATCCTTTTGACTCTCTACACATCCTATTTTTCTTCTGACCACTAATTTCACTATTTCTTCTGCTATGTTTCATTTGGTTTTAAATTCATTCACTTAATTCACATAATTCTTATCTGCTATATTCTTTACTTTAAGTTCTTAAAATTCCTAATTATCTACTGATTTTTAATCCTCTTTTTCTCCTTGAATTGTTTTTGTAAGTCTACATATGTATGAGTGTTTCACACAGTACCTGTTAACTCCAGAATTGGGCAGACTTATCCACCCAGTCACAAGCAGAGGCCAATATAGGTAATCTTTACAGAATGTACGAACAAAGAACATGTACTCTCAAAAAGCAGATTCATTCCCAAGAAAAGAAAGCTGATCTGATTTGCCCATTTTTTCCTTCATTTTGTTTTTGCCAGGTGCCCTTAGGATCACTTGTTAAATTCTCAGTTGTAGATTATCATGCAGGTAACTTAAATCTGCTTAGACCCACATAAGATCAGGTCTACTGCTACAAAGTCTCAGGGAAAACTTTAACCCCCTAAAAGAATCTAGGCCAAGTCAGCCTCATTTTCTTATAGTGTTCCTTTGCTATTGGACATATTTCCACTCTTTCACTAAAGAGGGTAGCTAGCTCTTTAAGGTGCTGTGTATACAGGTTTCAGGCTTTAGTTACTAGGCTATTGGAACAAATGACGAGAGATCACTGAAAGATATTAAGCAAAGGAATAAAGATGATCAAATCTGATGGTTCATTTGTAACATCAATAAACATTTACTGGAGTTACAAAGGTAAATCACTCAGCCATATCCTCAAGCAGCTTATATTCCATTACAGCAAAGATTCTCAATCAAGGTCACTTTGGTCTCCCAAGGAATATTTTGATATGTCTGGAGAGACTTTTGTTTGTCACAACTGGGAGGATGCTACTGGCATCTAATCAGCAGAGGGTAAAGGATATTGTTAAACATTTTGCAATACACAGGACAGCTTACTACAACAAAGAATTATTTTGCCCAAAATGTAGCAGTAAAAGAAAAGTAAGTACAGTAAAACATTAGTCTGTACAATGTACAGTATGGCATGAAAGTGGGCAGGAAGCACATCAATGGGCACCTAAGGCTTAAGCTGAGTTGGAAATATGAATGAATTTGGGAGGGAGAGTGATCACTATGAGCTTGAGTATCAAAGCATGAGGTATATTTATATTCTACATGTTTGGGGAACTACAAATAATTGGTATGACTAAGATTTAGGGGCAGATTAGCAAGATGGAAAGTAATAGGACAAGATGAGGCTGAAGAAGGCAAGGGCCAGATCACAAAAGACCTTACATGAAGATGAAGAATTTGGACTTCACCCTGCATGTGAAATAAGGCAGTAAGAGGAGGTTGATACTGAAGGTTAACAATGAGAAAACAAATCTATCCTAGAAAGATTATTTAGGTAAAATTATGAGAAAAGGTTTGAGGGCAAAATAAGGCACACACCGATTAATAAAATTACTAAAATAATCCAGGAAAGGGAAGACCAGAGATAGAATCAAAGTACCAATGCAGAAAGATGAATTGATACGGCAAAATACTACATCCAGTTTTTCATGACTGAATATGAAGAAAATAAAAGGTCTAATTCCCAGCTTCTAAGCACCACTCAAAGAGAGTGTACAGGAGAACATTTAGATAACAAAAGAATGTCATCTCATTTAGATCTCTTACAGTAAAAGAGCTGTGCAAGTATATAGGAGGTTACTGTTAGAATACGTCAACAAAATCTATGTTGTGCCTTGAACTTTATCATTCTTCAAACAAAAATAGCAAAAAATTTTAAAAAGACTTTTCTACTACAGCTAGATCATATTTTATATATGTATTTATCTTATTTCCAGGTATTTTCGTATTACATTATTTAAACTAAAAACACGTCTTCACTTTATTATTTCAGTATTTGTTTAATGTTTTAAAATTCAAGATACTTTAACTTAAAATTTAAAGACAAAATAAAAAATAGCTTTACCTTTCAAATGTGATTTTTTAACAGCAAAGTGAAAAAGTGACAGTCTCCCGTTAAAAAAAAAAAACAGCACTTCCCACAAAACTAAAGGAAGGCTTACAGGTACAGCTATTTCAGAATGGGATTAACACCTGAAGACATGGAGCAATACCTTATTTTATTCCAAAACAGATGAGTACTTACTGAATCTTAATAATGGAGGTTTAATATGCCGTTTAACATAAATTATCTTTGAAAATAGGGTTTTTAACCATTCAACGTAATCTCTAAAATAGTATCTAGTTAACATAATATTTACCTTAAATATACCAGATAAATATTTACAATCAGCTAAATAAGAAACAGCAAAGCAATTTACAGCTGAAAACATGAAATTCTGATCCACTGGATTTACATTTTTTCCTAAGTATAATAATATAAACATACTATGGGTTACTCAACCTATTAGAAATACAATCATTTGTAATTGTGAACTTTCAACATTACTCATCAGTAAAAACAATCCTTTAGCAAGCACCTTATGCAAAATGACAAGTGTAAAACAAATTTCTCAATTAACAGTTCATCACCGAATTCCTCAGAAGTTATTATAAAAAATTTTATTTAAGAAATCTAAACACATAAACATTAGACATTTTTAAATTAAATAAGTTATGAAACTTCCTTTTTCTTTTTACAGTTTCAAAATTAAAAGGTCCAATCTATATCTAAATTATTTCCATATTTTCCTGAATTGTTTTTTAATACTATTTTAGTAAATTATTTATTCAATCGTTTCTTCAGGTTGTCAAGGTGTTCCACGTTAACATCTTGTAATGCCAGTACCATTGCTTTAGACAAAGAGGGATTAAACGAAATAGTCATTAGACAGCACAAGTCTATTAGATCTCTTTGACATTTCTGCAGACCTTCTAGGAATTTTTGGTATTGAAAAGGATCCTTTTTTAACCGCTTCATTTCTGGTACTGAAAATCCTATCAGACTTGTAAGTATTTCATCTACAAAGCCTACATCGAGATATGCACTACCATCAGAAATCTTTGCTGTAATACGCCAAAAACCACCAGAACTTGAGAGATTTCCAGTTAAGGTTACAATAAATGCTTTGACTGTCACTGTTGTAACTTCCTTTGGTTTGCTGGTCATTAGCACAGACAAATACACAAAGGGTGGAGAATACAAATCCATGGCTACAGAAAGATTACTGCTATTTCCTGATGATTTTAAAGAACAAGTCTGTAAATGCTTATCATTTTCATTAGAAATTTGTGAATTCCTTTTTGGTACATAATTGACAAGCTCTCCATTTAGTATTTTATTATTTAAGGAATGTTCATCTGAACTGTTGATAGTTTGTTTTATTTTATTATGCATCTCTAAGTTCTTATCTTTACTTATAAAATCTTGGGGAAAGGGTACATTATGAACTGAGAAAACACTACTGTTTTGGTCTCTAGTGGATAGACAACTAAAAGATTTGTCCTCAGTCATTTGTTTAGACAAGTATTTTTCATTCCAATTATTTTTATAATTTCCATTTTTGCAAATCAATGAACTATTATTTGGAGTATCAGGTTTATGTGACAATCTCTCTACACTTTCATCTGTGGTTCTGTTCAAAGCCAATGGCTGCAATTCTTCAGTCTCCCTTTGTTCTTTCTGGACAGTCTCTTCTAAAAGCAAGGCTTCCTCCAATGAAAAGTCATCTAATTCCCCATCAGGGAAAAGCATAGATTGATTCGCTGGTTTCTTCTTTGGCCTTGGAGAAATAACAAGTCCCTGTTCAACACCTGACTGTCTTGTGGGAATAGTATTCAAGGAACTACCTGTGCTGAAACATCTTTTTTCTAAGGGGGTGTCATTATTTGCAGCAAGCTCATCACTTTCTTCAAGACTTGCTAAGAGTTCTTCATCAGAAGGTCCTAACGCAGGATCTACAACATCTGTAATTCTGGAGATGCTTTGGTTAGAACTATTTGGTATGACCGTAACTATAGGATCAGTTTCCCCAATTAGTCTTGCAAGTACTTTTTCTTGGGCATGTTCCTCTAAAAGAGCATCTACTTCTCCTCCCAACACCTTCACATTTTCTGGTTTCAATAATAGAACACCAAAACGGAAAGAAATGTTGCCATAAATTAAAATTTTTGTACCTGGACTAAGATCACTATGAAGAGCTGGAACAGACTGGTATTCCATTCCCTGGATTTGTACAGTTCCATCAGTTAGCTGTAGCATTAACATTCGTGAAGGCTTTGCTTCCCAAGGCTTTTGAGTTACTTGTGTTTCAGCTGTAATTAGGTCATTCATGGTATTCTTCCCTCTCAACTTTTGTATCTGGGAATATGCAGGTTGACTTACATCAACCAATGAATTAATCTGCAGAGCAAAAAATCCATTCAGTTCTCCTTTTGGTATTTCTAAGATGCCCTCAGGTAAAAGAGGATGCTCCAAATCTCTCAGGTCAGTAAGAAGCCATTGCTCAAACACTTGTTTGTTTATTTGTGCCTGACTCAAATTAACATTATCATTTTCTTCTTGGATCCAGTTAATACAAGCTTCCAGCCACATTAGAGGCACTTTAACATGCCATGTTGCTAAAAGCCACGTTTCAACTTTTAATGCAATACTAGTTACACTCATTTCTTTTAAATAAAAGAAATATTATGCATCTATTACCTGAAAACAAAAAACAAAAATATAATTGAGTACGTTTAAATAGTTTCTATAATTCTTCACAATGCACAAATAAGTACAACTACGTTGTTAAGAGTTAAATTTCTAGATTATTTTAGATTTTTCTTTTCAGCATCATAAGATTATTTGACTTTCTACATGGCCAAAATCTACATAGCCTCAAGCAACCAAATAGTATAATGAGACAAGCAAAAGGTTTGAGGCAGATATACCTAGGTTTGAAAGATAGTTCTGTCAAATTATAAGCTCTGTGACCTAATATAAATTTCTTAATCTCTCAAACCTGGTTTTTTCAACTGTAAAATGTCAATACCACTATCTTCAAGAGTTGTGAGAATTACATGATTAACATTTGTAAAGCATAATGTCAGACCTATGAAAGATACACAGTAAATAAGTTATCATTCTATTAATACAATCATCATTCTAATAATTGAAAATTTAGTTAAGAAATGATATTCACTAAGGTTCTTTTCATATATATAATTCATACTCTAAAACATACCATTGTATTTGCCCGTTTAGCACCTAAAAATGAGGTTGAAGGATAAAATTATAATAATTTAAAATATTCTGAGCTGATATAAAGCATCTTACTTGTTTGTCTAAATAATTCTCAACAATCCTACTAGGTAAATATATTTCTTCTGAGTTTCTCAGTACGATAAAACAGCGTAACTCTAAAGATTAGTTAATCTTGTGTTCACAAAAGTCTATTTTTTTCCTTCTACAGATAAAGATATCTAAGAGAATTTATTAAAGTTTTAATATGTACATATTAAACTTACCATTTGGAACAAAAGCATAGGATTTGATGACAGGATTTGCAACTGGTTGTTCAGTGGAGTAATTGTAACCTCTACTGTTCAAAAACGGTCCTGGGAGCTAAGACAAGAAGCAGTAAGGGTTATAAAACAAAGCTGCAGCAAGAATTACTGGCCCATTTCCATGAATGCAAGAGTTTAATGGTATGGTTACTGGGGTTACCAGTATCAGTCAGGGACAGTGAAGGAAAGACAATAAAAACATGAGGTTTGGAGTGAAATAAACAGAAGTGACGATGAAAAAACCTTACACACTCTAAGCTTGTTTCCTTATCTACATACTTACTTTACAGGGCTACTGTGAAAATTAAACAAGGGAGGAGAAGACAGGTGGCAGGGCACTGGCCCAAGCACAGACCTTGGACAGCTGGGTTGGCTGACCGAAGGGGACCATCCAGCCCATTCAAGCTGCTAAACTTGGCCCTCAGGGTTGTCACTGCAATGACCAGTCAGTCACAGGGGATCCTACAGGCCACAAGCAAAAGAAATGAAGGCTGAAGTAGGCCAAAAAACTTAAGCTGAAATTAGACAGTACTGCCTGCAGAGGGAGAAAAAGTTCAAAGCCATGGAAGCTGCAGATCTGGGATTGCATGGCAGTGGCAACACTTCAGTAAAGAAGACCCAGAGAATGACTATCTTACAGACCTACTTCTGACAAAACAGAGATGAACTTCCTGGATACCTCTTGGTCTCTGTCTACAACATCCAGCCAGCCATTTACACACATAAATGAAGAGGGGGAAAAAGAAAGACACGCCTATTCCATGGAATTGGCCAATTCATGGAATATGAAGTTTTATCAAAGCTTGACTTCTATTCTTGTGAAAAGGCATTAAATTATTTCTGTACACTATAGAATCCCTTCACTTTTTGAAAAAAACCTAACTTCTTTATACAATCTTAAAGCTTATATATTTACAGCATGGTGACCATAGTTAATACACTCCATTGCATATATGAAAGTTGCTAAGAGCAAATCTTAAAAGTTCTCATCAAAGGAAAAAATTCTGTAACTATGTAAAGTGAAGAATGTTAACCTAATTGTCATAATCATTTCAAACTAGACTTATAATGTTCATTCAAATATAAATACTTCTGCACAGCAAAGGAAAACAACAGAGCAAAAAAGCAACAGAGAATGGGAGAAAATACTTGCAGACCTAGCAAGGATAACATCTGGAATATATAAAGAACTCCGCAACTCAGTAACATAAAAACAAATAATCCAATTAAAAAATGGGCAAAGGACTTGAACAGACATTTCTGCAAAGACGTACAAATGCCCAACAAAATTACACAAAAAGATGCTCACCATTACTAATCATGACAGAAATGAAAATCAAAACTGCAATGACATTATCACTTCACACCCCTTAGGTGTGTTATGATGGCCACTAACAAAAAGAAAAAACCATTGGCAATGATGTGGAGAAATTGGAAACCTTACACACTGATGGTGGAATTCTAAAATGGTACAGCTGCTATGGAAAACCATATGGAGGTTCCTCAAAAAATGAAAAATAGAACTACAATATGACACAGCAATCCCACTTCTAGGTGTATATATATATACATAAAAAATATATTAAAGAACTGACAACAGAATCTAAAAGAGATATTTGCACTCCCTTGTGGATACAACCTAAATGTCCAAGAACAGATGAATGGATAAAGAAAATGTAGTAGATACACATAAAGAAGGACTACTACTCAGCCTTTAAAAAAAAAGTAGATCCAGTCATATGTTACAACATGGATGAACCTTAAGGAGATTATGCTAAATGAAATAAGCTAATCATCAAAGACAATACTGCATGATTCCACTCACATGAGATATCTAAAGTAATTAAATTAATAGAAGTGGAAAGAATTATACTTGCCAGAGGCTGAGGGGAAAGAAAAACAAGTTGTTCAGTGGATACAGAATTTTACTCAAGCAAGATGAGAAAGTTCCAGAGGTATGTTGTACATGGGCATATAGTTAACAATACAGTAATGCACACTTAAAAAATGTTGAGTTACAGTAAACTTATGTTATGTATATTTTACAATAAAGAGGGAGAAATCCAAGAGAGAAAAACAGGAAATAATAAAATTACCCATTTGCAGATGACATGAATGTTATGAAGAAAATACCAAAGAATCCACCAAAAAAGTTAAATCATGTAAAACATGAGTCAGCAAGATGCAAATGTCAAAAGGAGGATTATAGACTTGTAGCCTGTTGGATGCAGATAGGTGTAATTCTAGTACTTGACCTACCACCATGAAAATAAAGCCAGAGAAAAGATGGTGTCATGACAGGAGACAGAAACCTCCTCCCAAAAACACATACAATAGGAAAATATAGCAAATACATCTAATATTGAAAGAGCAACAGGAAAGAAGGCTGCGGCCAACTGCTTACACCGAGGGAAAACACTAGACCTCAAGGAAAAGGGTAAAGTACCAAAGCCATGATCCAGAGAGACCCAAGCCCTTACCCCACTCCAGCTCACTGATGGGAAGAAGAAAAACAGAGTGGCGAGGGCATGGAGGCCTAGGACTGTTGAACACCTAGCCATGGAGATCTGCTCTAGGAGCACAAACCTACATTACATGGTGCTCTGGAGATTAGTGTGGTTGGAAAGCTAAGACAGGCGGAATACTTGGAGAGACTGAGATTCCAGCCACTTGTGGAAAACACACATCCACAACCACCCTCTCTGGGACAAAAGAAGGCGGTCAGTCTGAGAGACTTCCTAACAGCAAGAAGGCTGTTAAAGGGGCAAGGATTGCACAGAGCTTGCTGCTCAGGAGAAAGGACAGGTGGACAAAATTGTCCCAGCGCACTCTGCTCAGCAGGTTGGGAACTTTCAGGAGCTTCAGACGTTCCACCCCCACGGCTGGCTACACAGCTACAAGGCTCCCCAATAGGATACACAGCCTACTGTGCCTTTCTTTCATCGGAACCAGTTTGCAAACTGGCTGCCCCCACTGTTGCACCAGGCCAGCCAGACGGTGGCTCCAACTACAGCACCTACAAGTGCAAAGCATAGAGGCGACTCGAGTGTACTTAGCCCACTGGCCCTGGCAGTGGAGGTAGGCACTGCAGCTGGGAAGCAGGAAAGAACTCTTTCCTCCAAACAGGCACCAGCACAGCTTGCTTACAACCCCTGCCATTGATCCAAGGGCTGAAAAGTTCCAGGGAGTAGAGCTTCTGGGCATTACAGGGTGCCACCTACAAATATGAAATGTTAAAGGAACCAGGTTCAAACCTAAATCCCATAAACACCAGAAATAGGCCTAAGTGAAACTAAACTCATTAACCTTCCTGAAAGAGATTTCAAAATAAAAATTATAAACATGCACACGGAGTTACAGAAAAATATTCAAAAACTCAGGGAGGAATTCAAGAATGAGATAAAAATGTTGAAGAATTCAGTATCTGAAATGAAACATACAATGGATGGATTTAAAAGCAGATTAGATGAAGTACGGGAGAGAGCAAATTCAATAGAAATTAGAGAACAGGAATACAAAGAAGCTGAGGCACAGAGAGAAAAAAGGATCAATGGAAGCAACAAATATTGAGAGAACTGTGTTACCAATCCAAACAGAACAATATTCACATTATAAGGGTATCAAAAGAAGAAGAGAGAGAAAAGGGACAGACAGTATCTTTGAGGAAGTAAATGCTGAGAACTTTCCCAATGTAGGGAAGGAGATAGACTCTCAGGACATGGAGGTACACAGATCTCCCAGCACAACAGACCCAAGGAAGACAACACCAAGACATATAATAATTAAAATGGTGAAATCAAGGATAAGGACAGAGTATTAAAAGCAGCCAGAGAGAGAAAAAAGAATACACACAAATGAAAATCCATCAGGCTATCATCAAACTTTTCAACAGAAATCATCTTACAGGCCAGAGGGAAGTGGCATGATATATTTAATGCAATGAAACACAAGGGCCTCAACACAAGAATACTCTAGCCAGCAAGATTATCATTTAAATTTGAAGCAGGGATTAAATAATTTCCAGATAAGCAAAAGCAGAGAGAATTTACCTCCCACAAAATGTCTCTCACTTTATTTTCGAAGGACTTCTCTAGATGGAAGTGTTCCTAACGCTAAATAGCTGTCACCAGAGCAAATTAAACCATAGTAAAGAAAGCAGACCAATTAATTACTAAGCAAATGCAAAATTAAATCAACTATGCCCAAATTCAGTCAAAGGATAGACAAACAGTACAGAACATGATACCTAAAATATGAAGAATGAGGAGGAAGAAAAAGGGAGGAAAGAAGAAACAAAAAAAAACCTATAGATTGTGTTTGTAATAGCATACTAAGTGAGTTAAGTTAGACTGTTAGACTCTAAGGAAGTTACCCTTGAACTTTTGGTGACCATGAATCTAAAGCCTGCAATGGCAATAAGTACATACCTATCGATAATCACCCTAAATGTAAATGGTCTGAATGCATCAATCAAAAGATATACAGTCACTGAATGGAGAAGAAAACAAGATCCATCTATATGCTGCCTACAAGAGACTCATTCAAACCCAAAGACATATGTAGACTAAAAGTGGAATGAAAAAGGAGATTTCATGCAAGTACTAGGGAGAAAAAAGCAGGAGTTGCAGTACTTGTATCAGACAAAATAAACTTCAAAACAAAGTCACAAGAGACAAAGAAGGACATTACATAATGATAAAGGGGTCAATCCAACAAGAAGATATAACCACTATAAATATCTATGCACCCAACATAGGAACATCTATGTATGTGAAACAAATACTCACAGAATTAAAGGGGCAAATAGAATGCAATGCATTCATTCTAGGAGACTTCAACATACCACTCACTCCAAAGGACAGATCAACCAGACAGAAAATAAGTAAGGAGACAAAGGCACTGAACAACACATTAGATCAGATGGACCTAACAGACATATACAGAACACTCTACCCAAAAGCAGCAGGATACACATTCTTCTCAAATGCAAATAGAACATTTTCAAGCATAGACCATATACTAGACCACAAAAAAGAACCTCAATAAATTCAAAAAGAT